AAAACACTACTATTTTCTCATACCTAAATGGTAAGCATACACGAATTGCAATTTAAATGCAAGCACAATGCACTTTTGAATAACTTCTATCATTTAGTTCCAAATTGGTTAGGCAAGTAAAATGTCCATCTAGGCAGTTAGGAAATCAAAAACTGCCTAGAAATCAACATTTCGAATGTCTATCTTGACAGTTCACAACTGTCAAGATGTGAAAACATTCTTTTTGAAGTATTATGTTTTTAATACTCAACTACCATATGAACAACTCTTAGAGAAAATTTCACTTCTTTATGTCAAGATAATGTTAGAAAATAATTAATTTTCTCTTTCTTTTTCTGCTTAATCTACCTATTATCCATTCCATTGTGTAATAACTAATTTCACGATTAGCTTCTTCAAAAAGACACACATCTAGTCTTGCATTAAATGCATTCAAAAAACAATGAAAAGTGTAAATTGAAATTTTTGCAAGATTTTGAATAAGTTTGGTGTATTTTCATATTAGTGACATCTATGCAAAGCCCCTTATCAAAATGCCAATGGAGAAAACTTTTCTAACCAGCATTTTTCCCCTTTCAGATTGAACAACAATGTACATATCTTTTACGATTTCACAAAATACGTCGTCTGAGACCATCTTAAGATACGCTGCCGAGAAAGCCAATCTTTTTCACGACTGCTTGTTGACTGGCAATGTGTTGATGAGTTCATTTTTGGGCTGCCATTTGGAAACATCTGTTTCACTGTTCATCACGAAGCTGGGAAATGCCAGCGTTATATCCCTGTAAATTTAGACAAAGAAAGACGTAGTTTCAAATCCAAGTTATTGTTCTTGACTGAAGTAGATATTATACTAAACAAGATTTTAAATTCTTTCCTTTCTGTAAAACACCCTACCAAACAAGTCACGGGATTTTAAAAACGTTTCTGTACAGAGAATCTAAGCTTTTTATTAGCTGAGAGTGAGACAGTACACTATGAGAAACAAGTATAAACTTGAGCTTACATTAGATATGGAAGAGTCATATTTTTCAACAAAGAAGGATTCTTTGCTGCATATTCTTTCCATTCTTCTAAATCTATCCTGCCATCGCCATTTATATCAGCTTCATTGAATGTCTGTAAAAGAATATTACACAAATGAGCAATGACGCCGTGTAAAAAGGTCGAGAGTGAAGTTATTTGTACCAAAATAAACATTTGCACCTTATCAACAATGCCTTTAACGATATCTTCCGACAGATTTAGGTCGGATTCGTTAAGAAGAGCCAACACCATCTCCTCCAACTGTTGAGAATTGTCAAGATAGATTTTAAGTGGAAACAAGTTGTGAGACGAGAAATTAAGAGAGAATTGTAAAAGTTGTTACTCAAAAGAAGGATGTTGGACTATGTTGAGCCTAAGCATATTATACTCGTATTCACGGCTATGGATTTCTAGCTCCATCCTCTCTCTAATCAGTCATGAGGAAGAAACAAGAACTAATCTAAAAGAGGCTTGCAATTGAAAAAATATATGATCTCAACTCTCACCATATCGATGGCAAATTAAAGTATCTATAAAGATAGACACCACAGATGCGTTTTAGCAACTATTTTCACCAAAATCAACCTTTTGAAATTTGCCAACCACGATATAACTCACTCATCGTTTCCCCACGTTGAATCCTTTACGTCCACATCATTCCTCTCTTTCAAGGAATTTATATGTGCTTTAATGCATGAGTTGAATTTTAAAATGTTTAATCACTTGATCTGAAAAGTTAAGCAGTTCTAGAGTCATTTAGATCACGTTTTAACATGACTCCTCATGCTTAGGTGGGGTTCATTTTTTCTTGTCAAATCCTAACACGTGCAAATTTCATAATGTGTGGCGACTGACTTTTACAACGATCCTTACCTGCCTGATGTCATGTTGAACCATGTAATTTAAAAGCTTATAAGCCGATAGACAGAGCCACATGAGTATCATCTAAATCTTGTCCTTGGGAAAAAACTCAGGTCTTCATAATTTCTTTGGACTTTGGGATTCAAGAGGAATAAAATTCACTTGTGCTAATGAAACACTTGACAACGGTGCTATTTACTTCCCAGTCATGTAGATAGCTATGCTTAGTAATGATATGAAGAACAAGGAGAGTTATAGAAATTCCTACAAGAATTGAATTCTTTCTAAGAAAGCTATGCTTAATTTGCTAAAATTTCTTTCCAAGTAATACACTTCGAAGCTTAATGCCAAAACTTTTTATTCAGACCAACTTATAAGTAGAAAAGGAAATGGAAAACACTGTTACCTCTTCATGTTCAATGTAGCCTGTATTTCTTAAATCGTATAATCTGAATGCACCTGCCATAATAATTTCAAAATTTCACAGCAGTGATTTAACAAAATAAACAAAAGAAATGGAAATAGAAATTCTGTCACAGACGAAATATAGTTGAGAATTTGTCCTGATAAAACTGTATTCTTACAAGCGATTTTTTCAGCTTCAGGAGTTCTGGGATGAAAGATGCTTAGTGCCCTAACAAATTCTCCAAAATCAATTTTCCCGTTCCGTTTGGCATCAAATAGATCAAATATCTGGAGAATCATAAAAGAGGAGTGAGAGGAGATTGACTTTTGAGAGTGCATTACACCACCTCACAGGAACATGCTCCATTTCCTCTCTCCTGGCTCGAAAAAAAAAAATGGCAATTGCATACCCTATCTGCAAACAGGTTCTGCTTATTGCCATTCCTAAAAAGTGCAAATACAAAATCTTCCTGTTCATCAAGGAATGCACAGAATATAGTCAACAAGTGAATAAGTCATGTGCAATCAGAATTGAGAAATATAGAGACTAGGACAAGAGTTCTGCCTCAAAAACAAAATTGAAAGAGTATTTAAAGAAAAACAGAAGTCAATTACAAAGATATACCTTCCGTATATAACCATCATCTACAACCGAACTGCTCATTTTCTTATACAGTTCATGCAAAGCCTCGACTTCATTCACGGTGACTGCAAACACAGAGTTCTTAGCAAGAACTTTTCATACAGTAATGGGCAACAAGTGAAATGAGAGATGCATGAAATCACAAAGGTGGTCTACTTGAAAAATTGTGCAATAACTCATGAACGTTATCCGCTTTTCTGTGCAGCTGGAGCTGGGATCTCTGCACTTGGAGCAGGTGCACACAGCTTCATTCCTATTGCACAGAACCTTAAAGATGCAGTGGATGCATTTAACATTGGGTTTGAATCTAGACTGACTGACTCCAACAGTATATACTAGTTTATCTTTTGATCCCAGTTCACCAGGCCATTAACTTTTTCCTTGTATTACTGGTTCAGGATCAGGTTCTATGTCCCTGTCTGAATGAATACTCTGCCTTTGATTAAAAAGAAGTGAAACGACAGATGCATTAAAGCAACAATTGTCTTCCTCTTTTTTTCTAATACTCCTTTTGAACCACGTTCTCACAATAAAATATTCTTCACGTAAACCCAAAACTTTTTTCTACTTTTTTACCACACATTCTCCGAAAATTTACCATTCAAAAACTCATTCTTTTGAAAGAATGGTTGTCAAACAGAGGCTTAAATTGTATCTCGTATTCCTAGCAAAAGGTTGGGAACTTACAAGCTGTTTCAGAAGCAATGATGGCTGGATCCTCGAATCCAGGTTCTCGTCTTTCTTTCTTTGACATGTAGCAACCCATGAAGAGAGCAAATAGAAATTGTCAACGAATTTTGGATGGTGTTGCTTGGTACCGGAAGTTCTTGATCCTCAGTGTTTGTAATGCAGACTGCAGTTACAAAATTTAAAAGAGCAATTACACATGGAGTCTGATTAGTTAAAAAACCGAGACTTATATTGCTGAAATTGATTGAACTTTTCTCTCTCTCTCTCTCTCTCTCTCTCTCTCTCTCTCTCTCTCTCTCTCTCTCTCTCTCACACACACACACACACACACACACACAGACTTATATATAATCTATGTATAATGATGAACTAAAACTCAGCAGATTCTACCCGGCGTTTTGAGAGGCTCCAGTCTTGCGCGTGATCTAACGCGTGCGTTACCAGTGCGCTAGCAACGAGCAGAGACGGGATCAATTGACGTGCTGGTCTCAATCAGATTCGGAGGTCAACAATTGTTACAAAGAAGATTGCAGGTAAAAAATTAATCTTGAATCACAGCACCGCACCGAATTACATTAAGCGACATCAATTCATCAAAGTATAAATGAAAATATATGCACGTGTGAATGAATATTAAACAAGGTGGCCGAAAACTTACTGATTCTAAGTTTTTCAAGTGATTTGTGAATCTGAAAGCTGATCGACCACCTGGGTTTATGCTAAAACTGCTAGAAAGAAAGAGAGCGATTTTCAATTTGCGGGAGATTGCGGGTCAACTGTTACTTTCTTTTTCTTTTACGTATCGTCATCAACTGGACACCCAATCCAATATTTTCGGCCTTTACTTAAAAAATTTTTTAATCAAAAATTAATATTTTAAGTGAAGTCTTTTGTCAGCGATGTTTTTAAAAAGCGTAAAATATGATCAAATAATATGATCAAGTTCCAAATTTTTACGAGTCTAAGCGGGGCAAGAGGAAGTTTAAATGTAAAGTATTATTAGACGGCTAAGAAAAGCTCCAAGTTTAAATGAAGTTTTTAAAATTACGTTTTTAGAAATATTTTCCACAAAAATGTGATTTTAAGAACTCTTAAAAAATAAAAATTACCACTTAAATTGTTCAAATTTAGATTTTGCGAAATAAATTGATAAATCTTAGCAAATGCTATAAAGTCTCTGTTTGTCATCCATTTTCTCCCATTCTTTTCCATTATTTTTTTACAGTATTCATTTTCAACCACACATTTTTCATTAAAATAACATTACACGCAAATATAGAACGTTTCTTTTTTTTTTAACCACACAATTCAACATAAATCACTTTGCTATAATACATTCTTCCCAAATAATGGGTGACAAGCACACCCGAAGTAAAAAATTCTAGTCAACAATTTTAATAAGATTGTTTTGTTATTTTCTGTGTCAGAAAATTAAAAGGAATGGAGATGCGGGGAATCGAACCCGTGCCTCTCGCATGCAAAGCGAGCACTCTACCACATGAGCTACACTTGTTGCATAAATTTGAAAGGAACCATATTCATAAAATCCTTCCATAAAATCATAAATTCCATGTTGAAATCAAAGAGAC